AGTGACTGCCAATTTTATATCTATTCTTGGATCTATTTATTTTCTATTTATTAAGATTATCGTACATTGTAATTTTAATTGATTTTAACTGTTTTGTAAATTACCCAGAGTCATTTCAATGAGATGGGCAGTGGCAAATTTGATAGATAGACAGATAAATAAATAAATATACACACACACATGCACACACATACACACAAAAGGAAATTGCAAAAAATGCATTCAACAAAACATACAACTGCATCTTACAACAATCTTGAATGCTTATGCCTCTTAGTGGTAAACTATATTATTGCTCTATGACAATGACGTTCGATGATTACAGTAATCTTAGCAAAGCAAGCCTGAGGTCATTAAAATTACAATTTATAAAACAGTAGGAATAAATTTCTATGGTGTATTAGAAGGCTACTGTACAATTAACAGCAATAAACTTTGTGGTATGAAATCAACAACATAACTGGTAGAGAATAAATAGATCTTTGTATAACCAGGTAAGGCTGTGAAGATGCTAGATCAACGCCTGGTGTTAGTTAAAGGCCAAGAAACTTAAGATGAATCCCATTTTTACCTGTGGCTCTTCAGCCTTCAAAGCATCAGATTTGGGGAGCTGGAAGAGGCTGCAGTGATAGGTGAGAAAAACCCATTCCATAAACAGAACTCTGTTCATCTAAGTCAGGTTCCAGTGCCCAATAAGGTAACAAGGAGAAAACTTGCCTTTTCCTGATACAACTTCTTGCTCATGTCTCCATCTAAATCCAAACTGTCGGAAAGATTTTACAAATGTGCAATAAGTATTTTGCATTTACAAATTCAGCAAACACACAGAAACTTGATTCCCGCTACATGGTGGCAATTTATTTGACGCAATATCATATTTCTAGTCATTGATTTGACTAGAAGTGACATTAAATAATGCTGTTTCCACAACCACAGAGGGCAAAGGCCACTGATTTTACGAAAGAAATTAGACAATGTAATGGAATATTCTGTCCTTCTGTGAGATGCTTTTGCAAAAGAGTTAGATAAATTAGTAACAAATATTAATTGTGGCACATAGATTTTAATTGTGGCATATATTCTCCTTGCATATATTTTCCAACCAGGAAAAAAAAATTACTATCCCATCAAGAAATGGTAGCAATAGGGGTACAGATAGTCCCCGGGTTAAGAACGCCCAGTTTAAGGATGACCCATAGCTAAGAATGGAGCCTATTGTAGCAAAATTTGAGTTAAATACACAAGGGTTCAAGTTCATTACACAATACTACCCATAGAGTATTATGCAATAATACTGTTCCGGCTTACATACCAAGTCAACTTAAGGACAGACCTTGGGAACAGAACTCGTTCTTAAAATGGGACTACCTGTAATAGCATAATGTATAAAATGACTTTAAAAAAAACAAAACCTAAAGGAAAACGTAGCCTCTAGAAGAATTTACTTTTTATTAGAGTAAGTAGTGTAAGTAATTATCAGTTATGAAAATGAAGGTTACATGATTTAATACGTTGATTAGGAATGGGGTATGTGAAATCAAGAATGGTAACAATGAATAAAACAGTTGTGATTTATATCAGGTCTTTTAAAGTTATTCATATATTTTATTAAACTTTTATTTTAATCAGCTGAATTTTCCATGTTTGGATAGTCAATATAAAAAGCTATTTTCTGATTCTAACATGGAAAAAATTAAACATGCTATTTATGAGGACTAGGATTTGAATATCAGAGCTACTATTTAATATTTTTTTTTAAAAAAACAAATCTTATAAAGCACATAAAGATATTTTGGCCCTAAACTTTTCAATTTTTATTAGCCTGTCTTTGAATCTGGAACTTTACCAGCTTCTATTAATGAACTCCTACCATATAAAGTTTATTCATATTAAACAAACTACAAACCTAATTCATTAATGAATGTGGATGTTAAAATATTATCTGTCAATCTTACTAAGCAACTCCAGATGGTACTAAGCAAACTTGATTCATTATGATCAAGCAAGATTTATTTGTTGTAGATAAGGAACTGACAATTTGAGATTAATAGTAAATGTTGTAATTTTAAATAATGCTGCACTAAATGCTGCTGTAGTTACAGAATTATATCATTAGATATAGAAAAAAAACTTTGATAAAATATATTGATGATACCTTTTTTTTCAAAATTATTTTTGGGTATCTGAGGAGCTGCAACAGAAGTATAATTTACCAAAACTGCAGAATGACAGTATCTTCAATTAAAACACCATTTTGATATCTAGATACAGGCCAACAGTCTTTACAAAATAATACGCCTATAATAGCTATTGATACATTAGATGTTCAAGAATATAGTGAGTAAGGAATAAGGAACTGAAATGTTCAATGCATGGAATCTTCAATGGAAGAACACGTTGGCAACTATGCCACATGTATATAGTTTTAAAAATTAAAAACAAATTATTATTGTGCATCTATTATACGTTTTATGAATAAGTGTGGGGTTTCAGGTAACTCTTGCAGATGTGATGTTTAAAATGCCAAATGGGAACACACTGTGTGGTCTTGTGCTACTGTGGCTCCCTTTTGAACAAAAGTTACTGCACATATTAATTTTGTTCTGCAACATTCTTTTTTTCTGCCAGGAATCTTTCCAGAACAAATAAATTAAAAAATAATAATTTATTAAGATATATGTTGACAGCTATGAGGACAAATTTTACTGATTTAAAAAAAAAAATTCATTTATTTTTCATTTCTTTTTACAAAGTCATGTGCACTTATTTTAGAAATAATGATACATAGTGATAACATAAGTATTAATGTTTAGTTTTGTTGTGATTTTTAGTTATTTTTAAGATGACATAATGAATCTTGTTTTATATATTCAATTAATTTTTTAATCAATGAAATAAATTTTTCAATTTATTTCAATTTTCAATTTTTTCGATTTTAAATTTTATGAATACTGTATATTGTCTATTTATTTACTGATATTTTATTTTTCATCCACCATATCCTTTTTCACTTTCTTCTTTTATGTCGTCATTTATTTTGTTCCTTAAATGTTTTAAAACTTCGAGGAACAGTCGTAAGTACCACTCGTTCAGTGCCGTCATAACTTTGAATGGTCGCTGAATGAGGATCATTAACCGAGGGCTACCTGTGTATTGACGTAGATTCAACAGGCTGGCCATACAGCTCTATTTCCTTTTAATCATCCATCGCACTGGAATGGTTTTCCAAAAACAATCAAATGCCAAGAAGCATTGTAACCATTAAAATTCATAGCAGTGCTATGGCTATTTTTATCTGTGCCAAAGGCTAACTTTAAGTCTATACTGATTGCAAGTCCAAGAGGATGAAAGAGAGGAATGCAGTCATGTCATTCTGCTCTCTAGTTTTGTACTTAAGAAGTGTGCTGGATCAAACTAATGCTGTATTTCAAAGTCTCTTGACAATTATTGTATTTACTAATCTCTCTGAATCCCAACTGCTGCAGGGTCATCTGTGAGAGGGAATTGTGACACTGTGACTTTTCTTTAGGACACCACAAGGAATCTGTGGAGCCACTTTTGGAAACAGAATCTTGTGCTACAGGGTCTGCTCCGTACAAAGAAAGCATGTGTTTGCCAGATACACGCATAGTACCTCCTCATAAACAAAGCAGTTGCAGCAAAACATCTCCTACGGTTCTGCAAAAGCCATTGGGAATAAATCGAACACTGCTTTGTTATCTAAACAAAATCTCTACATGCAAGGTACAAGTTAAGTTTCCTTAAATATCTGACTCTCATGTATTGGCCATAAACAATAATGGATTTGTAAATCAGCTCTATATATTTTCCCATTCCCTGTACCGATTTGCTAAAGAACCTTCAACTATGGACTAAAATTACCTTCAAAACCTTTGGCCAGAACCTAAAAATTACCTTGTTCTCTTGGTATTTTCTCAGATCTGCTATACAGTATTCTTTGAATAATTTATCATAATATTTCTTGCTCAACCTCTTCTCCCTGAAAGACAGAATTATGGATTAAACAGACAAAAAAATACATATTGACAAAAAGAGGAAGCGTATTCCACTTTTAGCAACGGAAAGGCAGAAATACTCACAAGTTTATTTGCCATTAAGTATTAGTTGCCTCAGAAAATTTAAAAAATGGTTGGCATTTATTGTTCAATTAGCTTGCTATTAATTGACTTTTATCATGAGCATGCTTTACTACAGAGTGTAGTGTTTCATTTCCTAAATGTCTGAAGCTATCTTCTGTAAAAAAAGAGAGCCAGAGTTTGGTGTAGTGGTTTAAGGCACCAGGCTAGAAACCAGGAGACTTCTAGTTCTGCCTTAGGCACAAAGCCAGCTGGGTGACTTCGGCCAGTCCCTCTCTCTCAGCCCTAGGAAGGAGGCAGGGGCAAACCACTTCTGAAATCTTGCCAAGAAAACTGCAGGGACTAGTCCAGGCAGTCACCAGGAGTCAAGACTGACTCAAAGGCACCAAATAGTTAAGTAAGTAAGTAAGTAACTTCTGTAAAGGAGATTTCAGAATTAAAATGTGAGTCAGAGGCTACATCCACACAACTTTGACATGCTCCTATCTCATTCATGCCACCCTAAATCTTGCTGACCCCACAGTGCTCCTTTATCATATACAGTGGTACCTCGGTTCACAAACTTAATTCGTTCCGCGACTCTGGTTGCGACCTGAATTGGTCGCGACCCGAATCAAATTTTCCCATAAGGTTCAATGT